CATAAAAGTGGTTCAAACTTCAAGTTTAGTCAATTCACCTGTGAGAGGTACAAGCAAAGAGTGCGTGCCGGATTGTCTCCGCACTCCGCCCTCTACAGGTTAAAGACAGGGTAATTTCCTAACTTCTTACAGTATCTTCATCGATTTTAAGAAAGCATTTAATACAACTAATCATAATATATTACTAGGTAAACCAACGAACTATGGCATGCGAGGATAACCTCTTGAATGGTTAACAGACTTAATAACCGATTTTAGTTTGTTCAATGTGGTCAAACATTATCTCAAAGGATCAGTGTTAGGGCCAACTCTGTTTTAGATCTATGAAAATGATCTGCTATCAGTTACTGTTTATTTCAATTTTCGGCTGTTTTTCGATGATTCTAACCTATTTCATTCTTAAGAAGCATATTGTATTCACCAGGGGCGGATCCAGCCGGCGACAGAGGGAGAAAAGGGGGAAAGGGGGGGGGGGGTGGAGAGCAATATATATATATATATATATTTGCTACTGAAAATTTGAACTCGCGCCGGCCGATAATTCGCTCAGTGGGGGGGGGGGGGGGGGGGGGGGGGGGGGGGGGGGTACTTTTTTGTTTGGCCCTCGAAAATTCGAAAAATCGCAACTCCCCCCTCCCCCCCTTGAGCGCCAGGGGTGGGGGCCCATCTCCAAAAAGGTAAAATTAACGTGTTTTTACATGTCCCCCCCCCCCTGGATCCGCCACTGGTATTCACAGATAGGAAGTTCGTGCTATTAAGCAAATATTAACAGACTACGAGGGTAATGGTACAACTATCATCGCCGAGGTGATCTCGGGGCTACTGTCATCCCGAGCCGTAAGGCGAGGGATGATGGTAGCCCCGAGATCACCGAGGCGATGATAGTTTGTATCCATTGCCCGAGTAAAGGAGGTTCATATTTGTTTCATATCCCACATCGGCAATGTCTATTTAAAGTGAATTTTACATTATTAAAAGATTCAACTAGGTTTTCGTTCGCGGTGTACTGATTCTGCAGACAGTTTAGCTTCAGCAGATATCGGTATAGTGTTTCTATCGATTGCTTTCGTACCTTCGTAGTGCTCAGTCTACGCCCCTAGTTTTTATTCGCGGTGCGTATTTCTACTAGTAGTCGTAGTAGTCTAGAGGCTAGATCTAGACCCTATGCATAAATAGGTCTAGAGGTCTAGACTCTTTAGCAACATAGTATAACAATTAATTGATTGAAATTAATATTATAGATGAACTTACCTTACTTGTTATCGTTCCACTGTCTACATATATGGGCCAACAAAACTGGTAAAAATCCGAAACTGAGATGAGAACGTAGAACTTGTCAACACCTATTCTGTACACTGTTTGGTCAATAAAACTAAAGTAAACTGGTAAAAATCCGAAACTGAGAACGATGAACTGAATTGTCAACACATAACAACATGTCTATGTACACTATAGATGAATGACAAGCTAATTTGAATTATAAATGTTAACACTACATCCATGGAATTGGAAGGATGCTTGGCTGCTGAAGTTTCGGTTGATATTGACATTTTGTGTAGGAGAACTCGGTAGGCCTAGATGCAAATTGCTAGGAGTTGGAGTTGAAGTTGATGATGGTTGGGCATTTATAGTTGAAGACATTTGGTGCAGTATCCTTTCGACTTGGCTTTCGGATCCGGCGGAGGAAATTTGAATATTGTCATCTAGTTCAAGTACATCAACATCCTCACCTCTACTACTAGTAGTACTAGTACAAGCAGTAACACAAGTATCAGGCACCACAGGCACTGGCTGTTGAACTTCCTGATCTGGGCCTGGATCTAGACTCCTGTTTACCATGGTATTTTCTAGGCCTAGATCTAGGTCTACTCTAGCAAGGCAGAAGATAAAGTATCCGACATCCTGGACTTTTGTGCTACACTTGTGCGAGCATAATGCTTAATGCTACCCTCTGACTTGTGTCCAGACACAGCCATTATGTCCCGGGAGGAATAACCTGCTTCATCTAAGATAGTGACGCTCATTGCTCTCAAGCAGTGGTTGGTGTAGGGTGTTGAACAGTTGGCATTTTGGCTAATGATTTTCATCATTTTGCTCAAAGTGTTCTCGCCCAATGGATAGTTATCATACCAAACATTAGTTGTTGGAGCTTTGTTTGGTTTCTGCCAGAACCAGCTACATTTGGAATTGAGCTTGGCTTTGTACTTCAGCATTGATTCCAAAAGACAGTTTAGATTCGTAGGTATTTCAAACATCCTTCCACCTTGGCTGGTGCTGTCATCATCGCGATAATTTTTTGTGAGTTGTCAACAATGCTGAAATAATGACGGCCGTCGACTTCATTCAAAATAAAGTCATTAGGTGTCAGATCACGAAGATTCTCCATCCCCCGGTTTGCAAAATATACCATGATATCCACAAACACTTTGTGCTGCAGTCGTTCGGGTGTTTCTGAGTCGAGACTTTCTTGGATCAACTTCGTGTCAGCTGTACTAAATGGTGTGTGATGTTTTACATTTGCTTTACCCTCAGATTTCAGTTGTGAAATAACTGATTTGAATATACTCTTACAGACTTTGAGAAAGCTTTGTCTTTAAAAATGTCGAGTTCATGTGATGACAAGAAATTTCTCTGAAGGCCGTATCTGATTGCTTGCATTGACTTCTTTGAATAAAGATCTCCATTTCGATTTCTTGCTCCTGCATAGAATTTACAAAGAAGACTGTCGAGAAGTTTAATATCTTGTCCCAAATTTTTAATATGTTCAACCTTCATTTCCATCAGAAAATCTGTAAAAACCTTCGAAACATATTTGATTTGTCTTTTAGTATTAGTACTGTTAGCATTATCCAGCATATTATTCATTTCTTCATCCCGCGCATCACTCATGATGATCGTTGATCCAAAGGCAAAGTCAACAAAAATACTTACGATGATGTAAATCCATCATTCTCAGTAGTCTATAATCCAATATTATCCAAATGACAAATGTTTAGAAGCAAACAAAAGTCTAGATCTAGGCCCAGTTACAGCTAGTCTAGATAGATCTAAATCTAGAGCTAGTATTGTAGTAATAAGAAACTAAGACGCAAGTCGCGCCGCCACAAAATTGTAAGTGGTTTTAATTTGTTTTGCTTTTGTCGCGCACTAATGATATGCATCGATTGCGCTTATTTCAGCGCATTTGTATCATGTTTACGCGATTTTAGGTTCAAAGCACAACATGCATACATGAAATAAAGTTGATGCGCGCGTATTTGACTTTTCAAACGCTTTAAATTAAGCGTCGTTGACTTGTACTAGTTTAACACTGGCATTTCGCGTAATCTACTTTGCTATAGGCTTATATGGGCAAATGGGGTAGCAGCAAAAAATAACTTTACAAAAGTACTATCTCAGGTAGATAGTACTTTGGCACATATAGCTCACTGCCATGAATTGATGGGAAATCTATCATTATCATATGACCTCGTTTAGACCAATCAGATTGCAAGATTCTTAGTATGCGGGATATAAAACGTAATAGTGAATGGACAACTCGTACAACACCACTATTTAAAAGATTGCTACTCCCAAATGTGTTTAATTTTCATGGTTTACTAATTTCTACCTTCATGTTTGATCTAGTTAATAACAATTTGCCTCATATTTTAATAGAGTACTGTGATATAATACTAGAGCAGAGCTATTCCACAAGACAGAAAGAAGGTGAAAAATTACGTCCTCCAAAAAACAGAAAAATCTGTTTTCTTTTCTTCCTCTTCTCTTCCAATCAACTTCTCCTTTCATTATTCAAACGCCTATGCCACTTTTCCGGAAGATATGTATGCATAGATTGTAGGCCTACCATGGAGTTCAATTTTTTTTTCTTCTCGCAATCGTTCATTATAGATATCAATTCTGCCAGGTATCCGACCACAGAAAAATGTACGGAAACACTTAGTAAAAAGTAAACCAGCAGCGGATACGGGGGATGGGGGGGGGGGGGGGGCTTGTAGGTCCCTGCTTAACCAAAGCTGGCATACTCTGAACACACACACAAAATATAACCTCACAAATTTGTACATGTAAGCCCTAGGTAGAATATGATAACCTTCTTTATTACAATTCCTTGCATGTCAGCTTAGAAATAGGCTTAAGTGAGCCACGTAAGAAAGCCCCCCCCCCTAACCTCCCCCCCCCCCACGACAGTAGGCATGCCACAGCCTCTAGTTTCAATTACACTGTATCTTTATGGAGACTATTTGCAATATTGTCACGGATTAGTCATATTTTGTTCGTCCATGCAGCTACCTGGAGCGACTGAATCCAGTTTTTTGATCAAAATTGTGATTCACACTCGCTATATACATAAAGCTAAGTCAGTCCTCCATCCTCCATTCTCGAACTATCCTCTCACTAGCAAACTAGCAAGTTCGGTGAACTATTTATATATTTTAATAGATTGAAACATACTTTAACATGAAATATTAACAAAGATCAAAATGAACGGAGGTAGATCTAATCAAAGTATTGAACTCAACCATGCTCACAATCAAATACATGTAGACCCCATATAATCAGCTTTGAAGTAAAAGTAAAAAAAAAAACAATCATGACAATACAAATAGCGAAGCACAGAACATGAACGATTCAACCTTTTATTATAAAAGACAGAGATATGCTAACATGATTTGCATCATGCTTTTTGTTATAAAAGTAACAAGGATAATTGATATAAAGTAGAGGAAGAGGAAGAGACATGCGCACTGTACTTTCAGTAGTAGGTGTGCCAAGTCCTTACGTAGGTAGGCCGAATAATTATGCAAACATGTTGTTTTCTTGTTCTTTGAAAAACTTTGGGGAATTTCGGTAAAGGCACTTTTTACATCAAAAAGTTAAACGCTTCCCATTCCCCGCGCTACCAACTACCATTAACGTATACCTCAATCGCATGATCTAGCAATTATATGCACCGTAAAGTCCGGGCCTGATTCGCATTTATTTGCCCTATACCAGACATGTCGTCGAAGAATCTGGTCGATTTAGGAAGGGGGCACAAGTCCAAGAAAGGGCTCCCTTTGCTCGTCAGCCGCCTCTGTCAGAGTTATGTGTGAGCTTTAGCGATGAAAGGTTTTTTTTTTTTGGGGGGGGGGGTGATTGGAAGGGGGAGCGAGTAATATATTATAACAAGAATATAACATATAGGAGTTTTGCCGGCTGAACTATTCTTTAATCTAAACAAAAAAGTGAGGAAGAAAAGACAAATGAATGCAACAACAAAATCCTGTTGATATACAGGCCTTTGTAAAGCCGGGGGGGGGGGGGGGGGGTAAGTGAAGGGAATGCATGTAGGGAGCACGGCTGAAATTACACAACCCTCCAACCTTGCTCGAGCACACTTCACTTCCCATGCATGCTTTCAACACAGGCCGACAGTTGTCACATCACCCCCTCCCCTAACCAATTCCCCTTGTTTCGGGAACAAACCCTTTTTAGTCGTTGTGCGTAACAGTCTGAAATATTATGAGAATACAAGTACGCTAAGACTTTAGCCGCTCCTGACACAGCCACAAACTGACAGATCTAGGCTCTGATCAAGGCTTTAGGTATTGTATATTATGTTTGTCATACTGTTCGGGAAAGTATATATTATGTCGATTAGATAAATTGTAATCGAATGAAGTTTTGAATATGAAATGGGACCGGGGCTGTCTTTATTATATGCATGCATGCACTTCATGTTATTGCATTTATCTGCGCATGTGCTATGCCTTATCCGGCGAACTCGGACATTTAATTCGGTGATCTAGTCTTACATGGACGTTTTGAGAGATTCCCGAGACCCCCAATACGAAAAGACGGGACGATATCACAGCCCGCGCATCACCGTTATGTCGTCATTTAGTTTCTTGTAATGACTCGATGAGGTCTTCAAAGTAACCATGGATGCTTTTCATTTGATGGTCATGATTGCCATCTGCACCGAGCTTATATTATGTTTGCCCAACGAAGAATAAAACAAAGCTTCCTGTTGGAGTGTTTGGACCCTTTGAGTCTCTGGCCGTGAAGTTGGTAAAGATCAACCAGTTTGATCGACAAACGTGTAACATTCTAGATGATTAGCGTCGATTTCTTGAATCGAAAATGGTAAGCTTTATTTAACTTTCAATAATTTATGAGAGTGTAATAAATCCTTGGGATTAAACAGTACATACGAATATTGCTCCGGGCCACTTGCTGCTAGCTATAGCGATACAATACAATAACTTTTGTACATACAATAATATTACTTTTTTTTAATAATTGCAATTCATGAATGTCTTTAATTGACTCTCATACAACATATGGACTATAAACCGGAAGTACATATGGGGAGTTCCTGGGTGTGATTCTTATTATCTCAAATATTGTTACCCATAGGCCTCTATTACAATTTGAAAAAAAGGTTTTGTGTGAATATTCTAACTGTCGATGACGAAATGAAGCAGTGTTTTTCTTCAATCAACAACGGTCACACTTTCTTTGAATATAAAATGCTCCACTACTCGGCAACCAATTTTGATTCGGTTTGTTTGTCTGACGGGGTGGCATAACAATTTTGATTAAGGCAGATTTGAAAACATTACAATTAATTCAAATACTACACTCTTAATGTCAGCGAGTAAATTGTGCCGAGTAAAACAAGTTGAGTAACAAAATGAGCAATTCAGTACTCAAGCTGGAGTAAGACCTTGATTTTAGTGGTACTCGTCACCCGAGTAATTTGTTACCTTCGATAAAGAGTAAATCAATGACTCAACATTGAGTACGAATTTCGTTTGTATCAATTTTGAGTAAACTACGGTTGGGTATTACGCTGCGGCAGGTGATAAATAAATCAACATTGATCTCTTACCCGAATTTACCTCGGGTGCGAGTGAAAGTTGGATCGATGGAACGTGCAACTAGCTGTCAATATGCATGTGACACCTGTTCTACACATTTTTACATAATAGCAGCTGTATGTTCCTTTGTCTACCTAAGGAACTGGATATTTTGTACTCTTTCATTGTCCGTCATGTGCATGTGCATGTGCGCGTGCAGAAAGATGCGAAAGAACTGAGATACACTCTTAGAAAAAAGGGTGCAAAAAAGGGTGCAAAATAAGAGTTTGCACCCTTTACATAAAAATGAACCCTATTGAAGGAAAAGGGGTTAAAAAAAGGGTGCAATATAAGATTTTGCACCCTTCCCACAAAAATGAACCCTATCGACCAAAAGAGGGTGCAAAATAAAAGTTTGCATATTGCATGCATATTCATGATTACTTTCCACGTGTTCACATAAAAATACATTTATCATGATTTGTTAAGCAAATTATGACAATGCACATCAATTTTTTGATTTTGTATTTTCTTTTGGCAATCATTAACCAATATATGATTTTGTCTGATCATGTTACAATTACATTCACGTTTTAGCAATAGATATATTGATTATATGATTACTAACCAAGAAACATCATGCATGTTTAATATGTATTTGTGTACGAGCAAATTTTACCAGTATTCCTCGATGATGGGTGCAGGATTGCACCTTTTAAAGGGTGCAGGATTGAACCCCTAAAGGTGCTGCTATTGCATCGGTTTGCACCCCTAATGGAGTAAAAACATGTACTTAACTTAGTACATGTTTTTACTCAATATTGATTGAGCAACTAAGCGTTACCCAGAAAACATACTCAATATTTGAGCAAAAAAATCGCTCAAACAATTTGAGTCAAAACATGTACTCGTTAATTGAGTAAAATTTGGCTCAACTCATGAGCAGTTTCTTACTCGACATGAGTTGATTACGTTTCTACCCAGTACTGAGTAAAAAAGGAAACCGCTAAACAAAGAGTAAATAGAGTAAAGGTTGACTCATTCAAACTGAGTAGAGATTTAGTCTTTTATTGAGTAATATTTTTACTCAACAGATGGGTAGATTTGTTACTAAACACATGCTGAGTAAAGTTTACTCAAAAGTCGGGTGGTTTCCTTTTGACCACCCAAAAGAGTAACATTTTGACTCAAATTGAGCAGTTTTTTTTTAGAGTGTACATAGTGTTTTATCAAATGTGTTAGAAGAGCAGAATTAAATCTACGAAATGATACCAGTATTTTTCTCTGTATCCTACACCCCACCAAACAAAAAGTGAGATAATGCCCTTCTGGCTCCAAACAGACGACTTTAATAGATGTGACCGTGAACATATAATCATGTACGTTTTGCAATCCAAGAACTTCCTGATCAGAAACGTAGCAATACAGTGCGACCCAGAAAAAACGAAACCAAGAATTATCGATGTTTTATCATAACTTAATCACAGTTATAATTAATAAATGACACATAAGCTTAGATCCTCATCTTTCGTTTGATGCAACCCATATGTTGCATATTTCACGCATGAGTGATTAAAAGCAATTTTAAGAAGGGACACCAACAAGCTCTGTTAGTTTAAAGTGATGCTTGCATTTCCATAATTTGATTTTAAAAGTTAATTTCCACTGGCTGCCTGCCGTAGTAACAAACGGAATTGACAAAAGACTTAGCTCCGTTTCATTGACAATCAGCCTTGCATGAAGTTTTTCGTCTATGTCTGATCGTCAACGAAACGGAGTTAAGTCTTTTGTCAATTCCGTTTGTTGCTACGGCAGGCAGCCAGTGAAAACGAATTCGTTTAATCAAATTATGGAAATGCAAGCATCACTTTAAACAAACAGAACTTGGTTATTCCTGGCTCATTTTTTTCTGATTGAGGTGTCATATGAAAGAGCAGAAAATGAACTTTCTAGAAATGTGAAATTTTCTTCGAAATTCAGATACCGCCCGCTAAATGACTTTTCGGTTTCCTTCCTTCAAATTGCATTTAATCACTCATGCGTGAAATATGCATCATATGAGTGTCATTTATTGTTTATAATTGTGATTAAATTATGATGAAACGTCCATAATTCTCGGTTTCGTTTATTCTGGGTCGCACTGTGTAAACCGCACGCGACTCATTCCTATACAGGGGCATGTATTTCGCAATGGCATTATCACGTGATGACAATCGGTAAACCACAATCAGGGTGCAACTATTCTACCTACAGTTTTACACATCTCTCCTGGAAACACAAAGTCATTTAATCAAATGTCCTGTGGCCTGAAATGTTGGACCATATGAGTTCTTCATCAGGCAGCAACTTTTGTTTGAATTTCATTTGTGTTGGCTGTGTGAGAATGGTAATAGAGAAATGACTATTGATTAATTCATAATTTTGCTTATAGATTAATTAAATTAAAGTCATTTAATCAAATGGTTTGTGGCCACTTCTTCAGTTTTTAAAATGCTTCGTTCCTGTTTTTCGGCGTACACTGTCTAAGGTTTTACAAGTATACCACTAAGGTAGTCAAAATACAAATTTATTACAGACTGTGGTCTTTTTAAGACCCCAAATTTTCCAACGCTATTTTAACGAGTTCCTAAACACGGGTTATAAAAAATACTGAATATACCCTGCAGCCCATACGATACGAGGACAACACATGCAGTGCAATCTTCTCCAAACGCACATTGAATCCTGCACCACATAATATACAAGGACACCATGTGAACTTTCTTTTCCAAACATATTGTTTTTCGGTCTCACTGAGCAAATCTGGTACAGTAAAGGTTGTCTTTTCGTATTTTCAAATATCTAGGGTTTCCATGCTTATATCTAATTAGAGGCTCACCTTGATTATGCTACATAATGTACTGTATTATTCCCTTTTTTGTCTCTTCTTCCTTTTTTATTTTTTATTTCTCCTTTTCCTTATTTCTAATTATTATCCTTTTCTTTATTCTTCTTTTTCTTTTCTTAAGTTGTTATCCTTTTTATTCTCTTGTTCCTTCTTTCCTCATGCTTTCCTTTGTTATATCATTATATATTAAGATGTCTTCCTTCATCTTCCATAATTGTCTAAATAGTTATGCTTCTTTCATGTTCTTATGACTAAATTAGGCTTCTTTCAATGTTTAAAAGTGAACAAAGAAGATGGAGAAGAAGAACAAAAATACCCCAATGGGGCCAACCCTGGAACGACATAGAACAACTTGTATTTTCTGTTTGTCAGATTTTTCTGCTTCTATCCAAGAGACTTGGTAATACGGATTTGAAAACATACTCTCTGTTGGCCTCAAGATATGCAGCAACAACAATGATGGCAGGAAAAAAAAGAATAGCATGTATACTATATGAGTAAAATGTAGTGTCCATAACATCCTATAGGATTTTGTACATAAGTTTTTTTGGACAACTTATGATATGAAACGAGCCTTCCTAGCAATTTGATTTGTTTTCATATGTATACAGATGGGACTAAAGTTTGGAATTTGTCTCGTTTACCAATATTTGGTTGGCTTTTTAAAAAGTTTCAGGTTTTAAAAAAAATGGCATTTCTTAGATTTGACCTTGTGTTAAATACCTCTGATGTGTATATACTGCATCTAATTTATGGACTGAAGTGTGTGTGAATGTTTTAATTTTTCACAAATGGTCAAGAAATTCCCCAAAGAAGTGCAAAATATTTGTGTGTTAAGGTAAACAATGCTTGAAAATTCCATGTCAGTAGCTTTGTGTAGTGTAACACCTACCAGGCTACCATCCCCTGTTGTGTTGCTGTTCATAAAATAATAACCAAGATAGTTTCCTCCAGGATATTGCAGGGTATTAACCCTAGGGTATGAATGAACAAATTGGGGTTGATGAAACTGCTCTATTGCATACTCCATTTTTGGACCCAAGTGCAAATGGTTTTGCACCCTGATTATATGTGAACGGCTGCACAATCACATGCCGCCATGTCATTCCAGAAATTGAAAATTGTAAAAAAATAGTTCAATTCAATTCAAATTTTATTAATTAAAATCCAAACAAAATCTATCATTCTCATTTTTTGTAATAACATTGGATAAAATAATTCAAGATTAAAGTCATACAAAGATAATTGAGTGTAAGAGTAAAGATGACAATAACTAGTAAAATGACACAAACTAACGTACTACTGCATGTCTCTTCTGAAATATATTCAGGGATGAAAAATAAATTAAATTACTCGTAATGCTTGTTTACAACTATTTTGTTTTCTTTTCGAATAAAAAGGAAGAAGCAAAGAGAGAGAGAAGGAAAAAAAAACACAACATGATAGTAAAACAGTATATATATTAAACATGTTTTATGTTTACCAACCCCTCTCTACGAGATGACCCCGAAAACACGACCCTATTCCAAATCCAACCTCGTGGGAGACAGTGAGCAAGTGATGACAATAAATACTTTTTTTTACACTACTAAATTTCAGCGAGATGAATGATATGGTTAAAAGAAAATTAAAAAATGTACACTTGCAGTATCATAATCACACTAGCAGATGCGGGGAGCACAACCAGTCTCTGAACAATAGTTATTGTGCCTACTGCAATATTCCAAATTGTTTTCGATTGCAATTTAATTTTTCTCCATTAAAAACATAATAATTACATATTGAATACTAACAAAAATATACATTGGAAGGACCACTTAGAAAGTAAAAGCTGTTAGGAGGGGCCCTTGACAAATAATTATAAAGAGTTAATCGAGCATGAATGAAATTTGAATAAAATCAATGAACAGGTAATAGTAATAAAATATCTAAAAACCACCATGCATTTATCATTTTTTGTTTTAGTGCCCCTTTGTATGTTAGGCCATCTGAACGATGTTGCTTACTTGTCAAAACTTATTTTCAAATGTGCTTTTTCACAGATTTTGGTAATTGCACACCACCCCCACCCCCTCCCCTCCCCTCCATCTTCATATAATCCTGGATCCACCCCTGATAAAAATGCTTACGCCTGAAATAGTAAATAAAACAGAATAACAGAAAACACCCCAAAAAATATATATGATTGCACATGATTCAAATGACAATTTAGTTAGAATGGAAGGGACACTGTTCTTTTGACGATTTTAACCACTCTTGCACATGAAACAGCCGGCGAGACCTATGCTGTTAATGAAAACAAATTATTATGATTAATAATACTAATAATGTTAACAATAATAATTATAAGAAAAAGAATTACAATAATGATAATGATAATGATAATGATAATAACAATAAGAACAATAATAACAATAATGAAAATAATAATACTACTAATAATGATAATAATAATAATGATAATAACAATAAGAACAATAATCACAACAATAATGATAATACTACTAATAATGATAATATTTTCGTGGGCCTTCTAATCACTTTTCAGAGGGTTCACTAGACCGTAGGCCCTCGAGATGCATTATGTACATGTTTCAGACTGTAAGTCATGTCTGTCACTTTGAATCAGGTCATATTTCATGTATTATTTGACCGGTAGTCTAATTTGATTTCTGAGAGCACATACTATTTCGGTTGCTAGGCATATTATATATTACAACAGTAACGGGAGCTAAGAGAGATATCTTTAAAATATGATAAAACTGCATCATCTGACATCAAACTTCCTATCCAAATTGTCATCTGCTTGATGATAGCATCTACTCGCTACACATTCTATTTTTCATCTCACTATGTTACCGTTGGTAAGGAGAAAAAAGCTCTTAGTAACTAAAATTGCCATTTCAGCTAATATCAAAGTTTCTACTTTAAAGCGCTATAACGTCTTTGTTAAAAAAAAAAAAAAGCAATGAACTTGGTATTTAGAAATGATATGAACCAATTTTATGGACAGTTTTCTAGAAATGCAAGTCATGTTTTTTTAGTGCAATTCATAATTTTTGAGAAATGGTTTTAAAAAATCATATATTTTGCTCAAAATTGATACACAATCCATCCCCAAACCTATTAAATGTGAAATCATCTAGTAGACAATTTAATTCTCTTCATGAGCCACCTCACAAATGGTAAAATGAGGTTCTGTAAAAAAAAAATATCTCCAAAATGGTTTAACATGAGTTATACATGGCGGCCGTTTTGATAAATGGCCGTTACTTTTTTACCAGCAGCATATTTTCAAAGTAGTCCACCTATACATTGTGCAGGGATGTGCCCTGACCACGTTGATACTCAACAACCTTTTACAACATTTCATGTTTCAAAAACCTGCTTCGCCCCCTTGGTAATTGCAATTTATTCAAATACTACATTTTGTTTTATCAAATGCGTTAGAAAAAACAGAATGAGATCTACAAGATGATACCAGTATCTTTATACCCACCCTTCCCCCTCAAAATAAATGAGTTAATGCCCTTCTAGCTCCAAACAGACGACTTTAATAGATAGATAACACCGTGAACATAACCATGTACATTTTGCAATCCAATGAACTTCCTGATCAGAAACGTAGCAATAATATACTCACACGCGACTCATTCCGATACCTGGGCTTGTATTTCGCAATGGCATAATTATCACGCGATGACATTGTGACGGGTTTCGCAATGACATGCCGTCATGTTATTCAGGAAATTGAAAGTTTTAAAAACATATCCTCTTGCGGTATCATAATTACACTGGCAGATGTGGGGCGGGGGGGGGGGGGTACAACCGGTCTTTGTCCCTTTTGTGCCTACTTCAATTTTTTAATTTTTTTTCAATTTCAATTTCTTTCTTTTTTCTCATTAATAACATAATAATTAGGCCTACATAATGAATACATGTAAACAAAAAGAAGATTGGAAGTACCACTAAGAAGAACAAAAAATATTATAAGGAGAGGCTCTGTACAAATATTAAGAAATAAATGAGCTTAAATGAAATTTGAATAATAGTATAACCACCAGGCAATAATATAAAAAAAAATATAAAAAATACACCTATTCATTCCAATACCTATAAATCACACCCGTATTCTCACACACATACATTCCCTAACTCAACGAAATTGATATCAACCTAAAGGTAATTTAATTTCCATCATATGACATCAACCCATGGTGATTTGAGGTTTCACTTGAAATCTATCTTTAAAACTAGATTTATTAACACACCAAACACTTCCTCAATACAGTAGTATACAAAGCTGGTCAAGAACTTTGGGACTCTATCTTTCACTGAAAAGAGGTATAAACGTCTCCTTTGCATAAAATGTTGTTCTTGAAGGTGGACGAATGCCCGCAAAGTTACAAAAATACATTTATCTTATTTTGTTATATGGAAAAGAATCTCGATCAAATTCAAGAAAGAAAAAAAAATCACCAAATGCTTTTTTACTTACATATTTGGATGTTCCATTGAAATTGGTAACAAAGTGTAGGTAATTTAATTCTCTCACATACATGACACCAATGTGGTTCAAATTTTCTTTGAAATATTTCAAATTGTTTTGTTGTTGTCAAAATGGCCTAGTTACAGGTAGGTAGGGGATGATAGGGGCCATCTGCTGGAGCAATCGAATCACGAAGAAAAACATTAGAAAAGAAAGAAGCGGGTAAAAGGACAGAAAAAAGAAAGCGAGGAATGGGAAAAGGGCGAGAAAAAAATACGATGAGATCCCTTCCCACACTACCACCCCCCCCCCATGATAGTGCCTCCACGTTAGCTTGACTTATGTTTAATACGCAACTGCAATGGAGAGCATCTGAGTACAAAGACTGCAGTTTTTATTGTGTTTTAATAATATGCTGATTCGATTTATTCTGTATTTTCCTTACCTCTTTTTTCCCCGTTTCATTCACATGCACAGGCAGAGAGAGAAGACAAAGACCGTGAGTAAAATTCATTTTAACACATTCATGAATTACGCCATCGAAATATTTATCAAAGAATCATTTTTAGCTTGGTAAATGAATCATATCTTTCTAGGTTAAGTCCATATTGCCAATGAAAGGCGGAGAGTTTTTTTATGATTCAAAACATGACATATGCCAATCTCGGAGAATTTTTGTTTAAAAACATTATGACCAGATATATCAGAAACAATTGTATTTCAATACATTACACAGTTTCTCTTCTCTTTTTTCCAGATGATTTCGGGATATCCGTTCCACCTTTAGTAGACTACTTAAAGACCATTTTAAGGGAATATAGTGACGGCCAGATCATAAAGGTAAACCATTTACTACTTTCCTAGTTATAATGGGATTCACCGAAGGAACATTAAAATACTCAAAATTTCTGAAAAATAAGCACAGTTCACTCTTATGAAATTTGGGGCATTGTACTCATACCCCTCCCCTTGAAAAGAAGGGTAATGGGCACTTATAAGAAAGTAAAAAGGAGCAATTATAGGAATGTGAAAGGGCACTTATTAGAAATGAAAGAGGTACGTGTCAAAGTAAAAGGGGAACTTCTCATACTCAGAAAGGGGCAATCAGAGAGTGAAATAGGCAATTACTAGAGGGGAAAGATGTACGTATTGCATGGGAAATATGAAAGATGAAGGTATACTTATTGCAAAGAAAAATATGGGCACTTATCAGAAGGGAAAAGGGCACCTATTAGAAAGGAAAAAGAGCACGTTTCAAAGTGAAAGGGGCGCTTATCAGAGGTGAAAAGAAGCACTTCTCGCACTTGCAAAGAGGCACTCATCAGAGGTGATAAGAGGCACTTATAAGAAAGGGAAGGGGACATTTATTACGGAGGGGAAAGGGTACCTGTCAAAATCGATTAAAGACATTTATCAGAAATAAAAAGGGACACTAATGAAAAAGGGGAAAGGGGCACTTATTAGAAAAAAAAAGGGGCGTTTATTTATAGTGAAAAGGTGCACTTTTGGGGGTACTTGAAAAAGTGTTGGGGCACTGTACCCACTTGCCCCCCCCCCCCCCCCCCCCAGAGCGCCGCCTTTGATGTGGAGAATAAAATGGCATGGAGCTTGCACTTTTTATTAATATCATTTTCAAGATCAAAACTCGTTGTATTGACTAATATGTATTGGCCATGTACTATGCAGCTGTCAAGGTTTCATAGACTTCGACCTACTACAAAAAAAATTATTCAAAATGGTACGAGTTAGCTAAATTCTTAACAAAGAGGGGTGGCCCCCGCTGGGAATGGTGGTTTGCCATTAATGTGAGGTACGAAACATGAATAGAACAAGTTTTTTGTACATGGTCCTAGATTTCTTTTTCTGGAAGAGCTCAAGCCCTGTTAAAAAATGACGCTACTTTGCCTTTGCAGGAGCTTGTTCAGAACGCCGAGGATGCCGGCGCAGATACTGTCAAATTCCTATATGACGTACGGCACCATGGGACCGAGACACTGTACCGAGATTCTCTAGCACCTTACCAAGGTCCAGCCCTCTACTCCTTCAACAACGCCAAGTTCAAGAAAGCCGACTGGGATGGGATTCAGACACCTGCCCGCAGCAAGAAGAAGACGGATCGCTTGAAGGTTGGACGTTTCGGCATTGGATTCAACTCCGTGTACCACATAACAGGTGAGAACGATAAGTACAAATATATACATTATACGAAAAAATGGAAGCACACAACATTATAGTTGTGTGCTTCCCGACACGTTCCTATAATGACCTAGTTTATATTCTCACAATATTTCACTTTGGTGATACCACCCCACCCCCTGCCTGTGCTGAAATAAAGACCCTTAAAAGTCGTTTCGTTATAGATCAGAGTAGTTAGCCCCTCCTGAGGCAAAGGTCTTGATACTCTGGGGTTGTTTTCCAGCGCTTATTGGCTATTAAAATGTGCTTTTATGGAAAGTGGTTTATCTGTGAAAGATGAAGTAATTGCTATTCTAAGATAAAACTAAGTGAGTTTGAAAAATCAGAGCATAATCACCATAGTAATAGTTGATAATAGTAGTTACTGGCGAGTTTGGTCTCTTCAGACAAAGCTGCTGAAAAAAATGATTCAAAAGAAACAAGCGTCATGTTAAGTTATTCGATACGGAAACATTGATCTTATCAATCATTTGGTTGTGTTATATACTTTTTTGCATTGTGCGCATTATTGTTTTATTATTCTTTATAATTTTCAATTACTTTTCAGATTTACCGAGCATCATGAGCGACCAAAAGCTGGCATTCATTGATCCATTAGAGGAACATTTTTTTGACAAGCGTGGTAGAGTCAAAACTGGATGGCAATTTGGTCTCGGATCCGACAGCGACATATTCTCGAATAACGAAGACCAGTTTCAACCCTATCACAACATATTTCCCGGAGTAACAGGAGGAATTTCGACGGGATATTTCGATGGCACGTTGTTTAGATTTCCTCTGCGGCATACCGCAAATAGTTTAAGTGACAAAATATACAGCGATGAAGGCACATTAAGCGAGCTCCTCCTGGCTTTTCGAGCCGATGCTGATGTTGCTATCCTGTTTTTGCGCTCTTTGAATAACATCGAGGTGTTAAAGAGGCCATCCGGTCTGCAAGAGCCATCACTAGTTGTACGAGTTCGAAGGGAACACGATCCAGAAACACATCCACCGGGAAAGGAATTTTCTTTACGTCTAGAAAGTTACTGCTCTGATGTCAGTGGGCGCAGAGGGCCAATCAAGTTGATTGATTGTGTGACATTCACTACCGAAACACCGGAGGCATCCAAGGCACAACGCTGGGTTGTTAGTCATCATATCGCGGGTGATAGCATGTCTCGAGAGCTTTCCGATTTGGCCGAGAAGCAAAGTTATCTCCCGTGGGCAGCTGTTGCTATTCCCGTGAGTTCTTCAGAACCAAGCAATGTAGCAGGAGAAGCAGAGGATAACAACATTGGTAGAGTGTTCTGCTTTCTTCCCCTGCCACCTGGTGAGGAGAGTCAGACGGGTTTACCAGTTCATGTGCATGGATTCTTTGCTGTCAATAGCGATCGCCGCGGGATCAAGTGGCCCGGACCTGACCAAACGGACACTCCAGCACAATGGAACCAACTTCTTGTGAGAGAACTTATTCCCATTGTATATGTCGACGCGATCAAATACGCCATTAGTATTCACACCTCCCAGGATAAAGTGACCACCGATTGCATCTATCGATCGTGGCCAGATCATAAAGAGGTTCGTGGAAACTGGGACATTCTCTTGGAACCATTCTACAATGCTCTCTTCCAGGAAACTATCATACATAGCGACAATAATGGGTGGATGAACATCGCAGACGTCCACTTCAACGAATTGAATGTGGATGAAGATATGGAAAAGGCCATCCTCAAGTGTTTCAACATCAAAGGCATTGCATACGCAAGGGTTCTCAATGTGTGCAGACAGGCCATCAGGAAGTTCTACAAAGATCAGATATCCACTGTTTCTGCTTCCAGCCTTTGCCGTTGCCTCCGTGAAGATCCTGCGATTTTGACCAAGCTCAATGCTGATGAAAAGCTTCTGATCCTTGAATTCATCTTGCGAGAGGACGCCAGACAGGATCTGGAAGGATTATGTCTTCTTCCTCTCGATGACGGAAGCGTCCACGTCTTCTCGAGTTCTGATGAAAAGAAAGTGTACATACCAACCACCAAGTTCCACCGGCAGCTTATCCTAGGAGGAAATCATCAATTCATCAGAACGGTACCAGAGGACAAGCCGCTTCATGAACTCCTGTCCAATATGGGTGTGTTTTGGTTTTCATTATTTTATCCTCTAACCGAATTACCTTGGGTAAAGATGAGAAATTCAGCAACATAGATTATGATTGAAAGTGGCCTCATCTAAGATAAACTTAGAGATTGTTAATTACGGCTGGAATGATTATATTAATTTCGTCACAATTTTATGTGGAAATTTTTCCTTCGAATAGAAAGAATACAGCTAGGTATCTGAAAATCAGGTTTTAATCCATAAAATGGAATGAGTTATTTCACTGATATATGGGGGAGGGGGGAGGCGAAGTGTCAACCACTTTCCTGTAGAAACTGCCGCAGGCACATTTCTTTGATTTGTTTTCGTTCGATTTACTAGATTGTATCACAAAAGTACATTCATTGGTGCAAACTGGATAGATTGACTTTTAAAAATGGGCAAAATATTTGAGCGGATTATGCATAGCCTGAATTCTTTAGTCGGGCATCGTCGAAACTTAATTCTTATATTTTCCTACTATTTAAAAGTGATGCCAAATACGACCTCATGGGAATGTTTTCATAACCTTTATTGACAGTTTATACAATAACTTCAACAATAGAGGCATAGCAAATACAGAAACGATTAACTTTTGTGTAAATAAATTAACAATTGTAATTATTCTTTATTTCATGTGCAGATGGGCGTTATCAGCTAAACGCATTAACCCTTGATGCAGTAGCTGAGCTCTTGAAGACCAGTATGAAAACTCGGATAGACGATCAAGGGACCTGGGTACAAGACACAGACGGGCCTTCTCTAAATACATGGCTTGAAAAGGTCTGGTCAATGCTGTACAGAGAGAGTTCAAGTAAGTTACTTCTCTTTGAAGGTATCCATCTTGTACCGTTGTTTGAGGCCGATGATGAGGGTAGAAGATTACTACCACTGTGCCCAAAGTCGGGAATTATCCAGAGAAGTCACCAAAGTCTCACATTGACAAATGATCTGGCAAACATTCTACAACAGCTTGGAGTGACAGTCACAAACTGCCCTGATTATGTTCTCCGCCATCCAGCTATCATGCGTGACGAATATATCAAGATGCCAACATCAGAAGGGGTAGTTAAATGCCTCCTGCTTTCAGATGTTGAACTACTGGTCCAGATATTCCATTCCTTCTCCACCATTGATAGAGATGTTCTCGTAGAATATCTTGCACAGGCAAAACTCTCCCATGATGGTAAGAAACTTCTAAGTTGCCTACCACTATTTGAAAGAGTCGATGGAACCGGAAGTTCAAACAAACCTTTAGTCACCATTGAACAATGCGAAGGGTACATTGATTGTTGCCAAGACGATATTCCTGCTCCACTGAAGTTGACGGGGCTCTTGATCGATGGAAGAACAAAATCTAAATGTCTGCTACAGAAGTTAGAAGTCTGTCTATTATCAAAATATCAGGTGATAATGAAAATCTTGGAAGAAATTCAAAAAGGGCTATTGTACACCAAGCAAGAAAAACAGCTCGTCTTGCAGTGGATAATGGAGCACTGGGAAGATATCAAGATCAACTGCAAGTCCAGCGTAGGCATTCTGCGTCATATGAAATTCATCCCCAACAAGAATAATTCTTTACTGTCTCCCTGTGAACTCCTTGATCCAAGTGATCCATTGCTTGACGAACTGTTTGCCTCTCAAGGAGTATTTCCGATGGCACCATTTGATTCACCTCAGTTCATAGTAGCTTTCAAACAGTTTGGCATGCGTGAACCAAGTGAAGTTACTTCATCCGAGTTGATTACATGTGTTGAGATGGTTGATGAATCTCAAAACCCAGAAAAGGCTCGAACGCTACTAGAGCTCCTCACAAGTAACCAAAGCCTTCTCGAAAGATCTGTCATTGATCGTATGAAACAGAAGCAATGCATTCCTTGCAGACAGTCTCATCCAGAGTATTACCCCTCAGCTATTGAGTGGTATGGTAAACGTTCTACGAGACTGTCAACTCCCCGTGAAATTCTGAGAGAAAAGAAGCTAGATGTACTGATATGTGGAGCCTCTAGATGCTTTACTTCCCAGGAGGACGAGAGTCGTTTCTCTTCAGTCTACACAAAGATTGGAATGAATATCCCATCTCCAGTAATTTCGGACGTCATGACACAGTTAGATCACTGTGTCAGGTATGCAGAAGACAGAACTGGGGAAGATGTTACTGATATAGTACCAATGCTTAAGGAGATCTATTCATTTCTAATGGAATCGTGGCGCCAGGACAAGAACATCAAGAACCTCATCCTCAATCGAGCTAAAGTTTGTATCTGGAATGGAAGTGGCTTTTCGGAACCAAGCAAAATGTGTGTGGTAGAACCTCCGTTTCATTTGGCTCCTTACATGGCATCTATTCCGCCATCTACTATTGCATTTGCAGACTTGTTTGAAGCGCTAGGAGTTGAAAAAAACATGGCGGCAAACTCCAATGCTCTGGTTGACATACTGCATGAGATCAAAAAAAGATGTGACGATTCAGAAAATGATGTGGCCTTCCAACAAGGACAGCGCCAACTTGTACTGCAGATCCTGCACCATCTACGTGCCGAAGAAGAGCTCTCAGAAGAAGCTGTGTTACGATTACTCGTTCCATCGCGAAAAGGAGAATGTCGTCTCATTCCAGTTGATGAGAGCGCATACGTGGACAGAGACTGGTTGAGACAAAGCACCGACAATGAGGAGATGGATGACGATGAAGACTTTACTTTGATTCATTCAGATATCTCAATGGTCCTTGCAATATTCCTTCATGTCCGACCTGTCAGTCGACTTCTTCTAGACTCAGAAGAATTGCCCGTTTTTACACAAGCTGGGCAGCATGAACCCTTGACTACTCGCTTGTGGAATATTCTCAAGAACAACTATGTGGACACCGCCATCGTTAGTGAAATGATACAGAATGCGGAAGATGCAGGAGCTCAGGAAGTCGGCTTTCTCATCGACATGAGAAATAACGAAAATGCTAACCAGAAACTATTCGATCCTGAAATGAAGTCTTGTCAGGGACCAGCCCTTTGGGTATACAACGATGCTGTATTCTCAGACCAAGACTTTGAGAATATTCTTCGGCTTGGAGGGCGTACCAAGGAAAAGGACGCTAAAAAGATTGGGAAATTTGGGACCGGTTTCAACTCGGTGTACCGCATAACTGATGTTCCAAGCTTTGTTAGTAGGGACTACATGCAGTTTTTCGACCCTCATACCACACATCTCGGAAGCGTTCTCCCGAACAAGAGTCAACCCGGTGTACGTCTCAGATTGAATAGCTCCAAACCACTCCGGAGATTCCCAGATCAGTTCAAGCCATTCAAGGGAGTGTTCGGGCTCAATTTCAGTGGAGGAAATGAGCCATTCAACTACGACGGAACACTCTTTAGACTGCCCCTCCGTTCGAAAGAAGCTGCACAGAAAAGCCAAATATGCAAGGAGAGCTACGATGGGGAGAAACTGATCAACCTGATGCAGAAAATGTGGGAATCATCACAAAACCTCCTGGTGTTCACCAAAAAGGTAAAGAAGGTTGCCCTGTTCTACCTTTCTGAGAATTCTAGCGATCCTTCGAGGGCTGAGGAGTTACTCACCATACAAAAGACTATGCGATCTCCGAGGATGAAGGACGATACTACCGTCGTTTCAACTGAATCAATCCACTGCACAATGACTGCAAAGGGAAATGAAATGATGTCACAGAAACCAAAAGTTAGTGAAGACCTGGACATTGTCAAAGTGATATGCAAGACTTCAGAACAGGCAGCATCTCTTGCAAAATCTCCGGATGGCAAAGAGTGTGGACTTTCACCTGAAGGTGCGGTTGCCTTTCCTTTTCATAGACCACCAATGTCTGAATTTGAGAAGCAGATGTACTGCTTTCTCTCCCTCTCAATTCCCAGCTTGTTCCCGGTACATATCAACGGATCTTTCGCTGTAAAAGAGGATCGGCGGAGTCTTCATATGCCAGTGCCCGATGGAAGGTTGATATCTGAGAAATGGAATCACATACTTCTTACAGATGTGATATGCAGAGCGTACGTTGCACTCTTGTCTGACAGTGAGTTTATTCAACAAGTGAAGGACACATACGGCACAGATATGTCTCATGAGGAGTTGTGGCCAGATATTGATGACGTACCAAATAATTCGGAATGTTCGGTTCTGTTTGACGCTTTCTACAAAGCAATAGTACATGGGTTTGATGGCCGTGAACCATCATTGTTCTGGAAAGATGGCAAATCGCATCAGTTCACGAATGTTGTGTTCCTTAGTGAAGAAGTTCAGAAAGAGACATCAGTCAGTGATGTGGTAACGAAGGTACTACGCGACCATCTCCCCTCAATGGAAGTGATGTCGTTGACCAAGAAAACGTGGAGAGCCCTAAAGAGAGTACAGGTGATAGATGAAGTTCTTAAGAGAACTTATGATTTCAACAGGTTCTTCAATGAAGTTTTTCTACCACACATCAGTCAGATGCCCGACAGCATCCGAAATCAACTGGTTTTGTTTGCACTCAATAACAGTGAAGACACACTACAGCAGAAACTAAAAGATGTAAAATGCATACCAGTAGAGGGAGGAACTGAACTGCGGAAACCTTGTGATCTAGTACACCCGAAAGGCAAAGCTGCACCTTTGTTCTCGGAGTCCGATAAGGTTTTCCCTCTGAGAGAAAAATTCACTGACATCAACACATTGGCGTCACTAACTAAGCTAGGAATGATGAAAGACTATCTTCATGAAGATATTTTCGTCGAGCGATGCGAGACTGTTCACATTCTACATTCAAGCTGTATGGAAGTAGCTCAAGCGAGATGCCATGCTGTACTGAAGTATCTGGCGGAGATGTTGGGGAGTGATTGGAATGAGAAAACACTCCTCAAAGAACGGCTTTCGAGTATCCCATTCTTGCCTATCATGTGTAAAGAAAACAGAGATCCAGCTCTACCATGGGTGGAAACAGACTGTGCTTATGCATCTGCTAACGATGTGTACTCTCATTCTAAAAGATATTTGGTAAGCAGCACATCAAACGTTGTGGATGAATCAGGAGTGTGGAAGCTTCCAAGGAAAGTCGAGCACTGTCTTGGTCTTGCAGATAAATATCCCTCTGTTCAAGGTGTACTCAAGCAGTTCTCGAACTTTCGTAGTCACTACGAAATGAATAAGGAATCCATTTCTGATAATCGGTTACAAATGATAAGCGAAGCGGTCTACGAACGTGTTGAAATTGCTTGTAAAGAAAATAGTCCAGACATCTCTAACGAAGATCTTCAGAATCAATCGTTCTTCCTTGTAGATCGCAAGTTTGTAGTGGCCTCTGTGGTTGCCGATGGAGGTAGAGATCTTCCACCGTATCTATTTAAAGCTTCCCAGTTCCTGAAACAATATCCCATTCTTCTGGAACGTGCAGCATTGAAGAGGGAATTTGATGCCGGAGACTATCAAGGTGTTCTCCAATCTATACACGAGGATAGCAGTGGGGAACCTTTAGATGATGAGGTCTTGGAGGTTGCTATCCTAGCTGCCGATCGACTTGCTAGTTTCCTCAAAGATGATGATGGGAGACGGCCTCTAGATGCATTTCTTCCAGATGAGGACAAGTGCATGAGGCCTATATCAGATCTCTGCTACACTGACGTTGATTGGTTTGAATACGACGAAATCGAACTCCATAAGTGTCACATGAAAATCAGTTTTATGCTTGCAAAGAAGCTAAAAGTGAAGGATGTTCGACAACAGATGCTCCAGTTATACGATATTGATTTCCCAGGGGAAGAGTTTGGCCAACATGAGAAACTTACAACCCGTATAAAGCGGATTCTCGATTCATACCCATCTGATGAAACAATTCTGAAGGAACTTCTTCAGAATGCTGACGATGCCGGAGCAACTGAAATCCATTTTGTCTACGATCCTCGCTCACATAATGGAAATAAACTTCTAGGAGATAGCATGAAAGCTTTGCAGGGTCCTGCTCTTTGTGTCTTCAACAACCAATCTTTTACAGATGAAGATATTCGTGGGATACAGAATCTTGGAGAAGGTAGCAAAGCTGATCATATGGGAAAAATAGGCCGTTATGGAGTCGGTTTCAATGCGGTGTATCAACTTACGGATTGCCCAAGTTTCATCTCTAAAGGTGAACGATTATGCATGTTTGACCCTCTGCAGAAGTATATTCCGGGAGCAACATCGACTAAGCCGGGCCGTCAGATAAGGGTTAATGGCAGTGTGCGTTCTTCCTATCCAGATATCTTTCAATGCTACTTGGAAGACATTCTTGCAGATGGAGAGCAGGACTATACTGTTTTTCGTTTTCCATTGCGGGAGAAAGCTTCAACACTTAGCAAAAACGTATGGCGACCTGGGGAGATTTGGAAGCTACTACAAGACTTTGAGAATGCTGCATTCGAGAGTCTTTTGTTTCTGAAAAACATCACTAAAATCAGCATTTCAGAGCTAACAAGCTCAGGAGTGATTGGCTCTACTCATGCTATCACAGCAGAGATTACCGAAGTGGAAGGTGAAAAGAAAATGGATTTCTTGCGCAAAGTTCAAGATATCAGCAGAGCAGCCAAGGATGACAGTACCTGGCAACCAGAACCAGCAGAAGTCATATACCAGATGAGATTGAAAGGAAAAGGAAGAGATGAGGATTGGGTAATATGTCAGCAAGTAGGAAGTGCAGACACGGCTGAAGAAAACATAATGCGAAAACGTAAACTACTTCCAGTGGGGGCTGTTGCTGCCCGTCTGACAGGTAAAAAAGAGGAACTCAAAGGAACGGCTTTCTGCTTCTTACCCCTTCCCATTGCAACGGGACTTCCAGTTCACGTACACGGATACTTTGCCTTAGACCATGAGAGTAGAAGACACTTGTGGGAAGGTAGCAAAACAGATGAACAAACAAAGTGGAACTTTCACCTCATCCAGAAAGTTATTGCACCGGCTTATGTGAAGTTGCTGTTGTGGATACAGGGATTCTTTGTCAGGAAATATGAATGGTCAGGATCGAAGTCATGTCAACAAAAAGCTCACACTTTGAAACTCCTTCAGAAATACCATACCTTCTTTCCTAACATCGGCGAGAAAGGGTCTTACTGGAAAACACTTGAAGCCACTGTATACGAAATTGTTGCCTCTGAAGCCCTGATGCTATTTCCTTCTCTATACAGAAAAGATGATGACAACAACGACTTTTTCCTAACATGGAAGACCCCAGTCGTGCACATGCAGCCTCCAGACGAATCAAAGGTGGGATATTTCAACACACTGCCAAACCAAATGAGTGATCACTTCACATTCCCTACAAGTAGCTCCTCGAAGGCTGAGATGCAAGAAAATGTGAAAAAACTGAAGGAGACACTGATCGAAATCACATTTCCATTACTAGAGTCTCCGACATGGATAATGCACCGTCTCCGCAAAGCATGCAAGCATCTCAATCAGGAAACCATGAACCATGAATCAGGAAACTATAAAGTTCTTGAAGTTCTACCTTCAAATGTGGTGTCTTTCCTTTGCGGAGACAACCCCCTTCAGAGGCAATTACCAATGACACTTTCAAAATCAAGGATCCACGACGAGAAGAGACTGAAGGGACTCATAGCTTACTGCAAGAAGGGAACACAATCTAACTTCAATGAAAATCTCCACAGACTGCCATTGCTCTTCACTCAGGATGGGAACTTGAGGAGGTTATCACGTGATGAGCGGGTCTTTGCATCAGAATTCTGCGATCTTTTCATTCCTCAGAGTCATAGGTTTCTACATATCAACTTTCTACACACTCTACCACGAAATACCAATGTCTTTTGTGAGCTTGATGTGAGAGCAGTATCTGCGCTTCTTGATGATTGCCACCCTTATCTCGAGTGTGCTTCAGATGAAATAATAACGCTTCAGAACCAACTTTCATCTGAATGGTTTGAACGTTTGTGGAGTCTTCTTGAATCCTTATGCACAGAGACGAACACGTTGACTGATGTTGCTCACGATATCAGAGCTGAACTTGGCCGTTGGGCGATATTACCTGTCACTGAAACAAAAACTCAGTATCCTCAGGAAATTAAGCTTGTGGCACCTATCAGTTTATCCTCTACAATAATAGTCCAACCAACCGAGTCGGAAAAGAGATGGTGGCCAATCTACTCAGCACTTGAATCACTGAACGTCTACAAGGTCGAGAAATGCATTCTTCGCGAAGACAAGAATAGCTTAATACATCATCTCGTCACACACAAGGGCGATAGCACGAGGGTTTTAGATGCCTTGATGTACTGGGTTGATAGAGACGTCAAGAGATTCAGAAACCTCGAAGCTGATCAACATGAAGAAATCCTGAGATTCTTAAGTAACTGTGGAAGCCAAGCTGATCTCAAAAGGTTGAAGAGCCTGCCTTGCTTCAAATCGATTGCAGGTGACTTTGTCAGTATCAGAGGTTTTGACACAGTTCTTGTCCTCCCAAGTATGATTCCAAAAAAGGAACAAGATAAATGGACTAGTACTACTCGCGCTATATTTCTGCAGTACAACACATCGCTTCAATCTCTATACAAGAAGCTAGAATTGACTGATACAACAGAGATTGACGTGTATGTACAGTATATTCTGCCGGTCTTTGACCAACTCAGCGAGGACAGTCGTCTTGAACATCTTGTGCGGATTAAGAAATTACTACTACCGCTACCCATTGATAACACAGATAGGTCCTTTAGTGAAACTAGGGAGGAAGCTATTCGGAGATTAAGATTAAGTCACCTGCTTTTCATAACCGGTGAAAATGGGGAATTGCTGAAGGCCGTGGACTTCTATGACCCCCAAGTCCAGTTATTTTCTCTAATGTGGAACGAGGTCCGGTTTCCACCAGATCGCGTCAAAAATTCTTTAGGACTTCCATTCCTTCGAGAAATAGGACTACAAGTTGTTATTACTAGAGAATTATTCCTCTCCTTCGCCCAGCAAGTACAGAAATCACATTCTGACCTCGAAGAGATGAAAGAGAAGTCCAATGCCCTTGTGTTCGAACTTGGAAGGACATGTGACCTTCACAAAGACTCTTCTCTCCTACAGGAAGTCAGTATGGTTGACTTTCTTGTTAGTGACGGGATCAGCCAGGAGATGGAATCTATTCATCCACCCTTCATGAAGAAAGGAACTCTCATGAGGTATTCTGGATCAAGTTCTTTCGAACACACACAACTTGTTTGGTCCACCATTAGCGTCCTGCCAAAATATGCGGCTTTAGAGAAATGCTACTCTTGTAACAAAACGTTCGATGAGAAAATGGGCGTTGCACAGGAACCCGAATTTATGATCGTTATCCAGCATTTACGGAATATATGTAACAGACTCCAAAAGAAGAATGACCGGAAGATATCTTCCCCTGAAGATCTTGCAGGTGTACTACAGGAAATACTGACATTCGTTTCCTCCAAGTGCGCAAGACAAAACTGCTCTGAGGAAGACCCCTGTGAAAGGTGCTGTATCATCAGAGACGAGCTGCGAAACGTTCCTGTCGTCCTTTTGGAGCTCGAGGATGAGCATCGCTTAGTCATTGCAGAACAGATCTCGTGTACAGCGGATGAAAATCTAGAGCCTTTTCTCTACCAGCTGCCAAACAAGTGGGTTCCTTTTTTAAAGGTATTTCAAATTCTTGGCGGAACAGTGAAACCTTCCATACGCCAATATGCTTTTGTTCTTGAAAGCCTCTACAGAAGGGGACCGAGTGCATGGTCAAACCCAAATGTAGACATTGTAGACAGGGCCACGTTTGGGCTTCATGAAGAGTTAATAAAGACCGATCCTGAACAGATAGCTGCTGCATTTGTTCCCGGACACTCCCTGTATCTACCTTCATGTCAGCAAAGGTTGGAACGATCAGAAAGCCTTCTAGTGAATGATGTCGACCACTACACAAACCGACTCCTTAGATCTAATCAACCACTCGTCAAGATATTTCCAAGTCATGAACGAATCGCACAAAAAGCTATCGCCAGGCTTCCCGAAAGGATGAAACCGAAAGCAGTAAGCACGGAAGTAAATGAAATGTTGAGCAAGACTGGTAACGATTCACGAAAGTGTTACTTGACTGGAAACGAACCGTGTGGGTTTGGAAGGAGACTTCAAATCCTGCAGTCAAAGGAGTTTCTTGAGGCGGTTTGCTCCATCATGAGACACAACAGGCGGGCAGTTGACGGGGAGACCAGGAAACAGTTTAGAGATCTCCTAACTAGCCTGAAGATTACATGTATCCAGCAGTTACATTCGATTCTGCAAATCAATGGCCAAGACATAGAAGGTAGTGAAACCAAAGTACCTTCCTTCGTCAACAGTGATAATGAGCTGTTTGTACAACATAGTGAAGTAGGAAATAGGATGGTAACGCTAGTAAGTGTTGCAATCCATGTCAACAAAGTCCTTGGAAATTTGTTTGAGGATAGAAATTATATGTCTATACTGCTATCTCAAGATTCTTCAGCTACCATCCCAGAAGCATTAGCGATGTTCGGCATTGCTTTTATGGAAGATGACACAAATTTAAAGTTGCCTAATCCTGGAAGTACTATTCCAGAACAGCTCTACCATCTCATGGAACAAAACCCCTGGACGTCTTTCAGCACAGGCGATTACGTAGGGTACGCACAAACCTATGAAGACGGTGACTACTACATATACGCAGTAGTGGTCAAGAGGATATGCAACGAGTCGCTCAAGTCAGTTTATCTCATCGACATTGGAAAGGACAGCCCGATAGAGGCCAATGTGTTGGACATGCACAAGATTCACATCCCGAACTACACATCATGTATGGAGCCTGTTCTATCTGACCAAGTAAACTCAGTTGGTGCTGGACCGTGTTTTTCTGGTCATCGGGAATCATCTCTTCTAACGGATGTTGAAGAAGCAAACCGACAGGTGACCGCAGAATTGGAGGAGATCTGGCAGCTTCCAGCGGAGCTGACAAAGAAGGCTCTCCCCCGATTGATGCTAAAATGGCATTCCGACAAGCATCCAGAAGGTCCAAAGGAACTGTTTGACAAAGCATTCGAACATATCAAGAGTGAACTCGAAAATTCATCATATGAAGACCTTCCCAAATTAGCTGAGCAGAGAGCAAGGGAAGACCAACAACGGTATAATCAAGGAGAAGTAGCAAGAAGATTCCCAAATATCCCCAAAGCACTCCTTTGGCTTCGCCAGGGACAGGAAGATCTCCGCGCTGCCCAACACGATCTTAAACCACACGATGAGCCGTCACTAGAGTGGGTAGCGTACAAGTGCCACCAGAGTGTAGAAAAGGCCCTCAAAGCTGCTCAACTTGCCATCAGAGGATGTCACAGTAATACCCATAGCATTGATGGTCTAGCCCGTGACGTCAGTGAACACGCGAGTGAACACGTGCGTGAACACGTACAATCTTCAGAATTTCTCCAGAACATATGCCAGCTCAGCTCTCTCGTGGGTGATCAACAGGCTCGGTACCCGGATAGTTGCGCCTCTTCACAGATTCCTCACGAGGTCTTTATAGACCAAACCAAAGGTGAGGAAATGATCCAGCTCGCCCGTAATATCCTTGCAGTCGTTGAATCATCATTGGTTCCGTCGAAATCATGAACGCTAGGTCTGGTACAAAACTATTGCTTTTGTTTCCACTGCTTTTACATTAACGACATACCTGCATTGTGGAATCGAAGCAAAACGTAGGTGGCAAATTATTCTAGTGACTCTTGCGAGAAGATTTGATGAGTTGATATGTACATTTAATTATGATAGCGGTAACAGTATTTGTAATCGCGCTGAATAGACCAGTTCGTAGTTAGCCCATGATACACTTGACCCCAAATATCCACAGATATTTTACACATGGAGCTGTCCCAATTTGTGCACTTTAAAATTATCGCTGCCAAAGTCATGGATGTATATTTGTTCGCCCTCTTGAGAAGAATGCTTCCACCTGTGTTCCTTAGAACTGTCGGTGCATACATTAATAATGATGACATAAATTTCATAAGCACGTATCCAATATTCGTCTGATCTCTATCTGCACATGCGCAGAATCTATCTATGTAGTGGCTTATTAATATCACTTTTGACTAAAAACCAATCGAATAATACTAAATTCGGTAGATTTATGAATTGACTACTGATGCAATCAGGCCCTTTTCTTCCTATCACACTGGTCGATATCATATTTCTTTAACTTATGTATCATTCGAACGAAGTACTTTTAATCATGTGCATTGACATTTGATTTAAAGTTTGAAATAAATAGGACCAATAATAAGAAAGTAAAGAATGTTTGAAATATGAGATCACTAAGTCTTTGCGGATCTCAAATAAACTGCTCGGTGATAATTGTGATTGTGACCTAGTTGCAGATAACTCCTAATTGCCTTTTTCCTCGGGGCACTACTCAAAATATATTATGGATAGCAACTTATCAAGAATAGACCCATCTAACCCATACCTTTTTGAAAAGGTGAAATTTTAGTCAATTTGTATGTTGGAACAAATTGGAAAGTTATCCCGCACTACATCACATAGAGACTACCGATACCTGCTAGATGCTTTGATCGACGCAGCGGATGTCATTAAAAATAGTATTTTTATGTAAATTGATTAGATTGCATTTTGGATACCATAATTCTGTTATCCGTACAGAATCGACTTGTTGCAAAAGATAGAAATACTATTTCCCTTTTGTCAGATATACTGATATGTACCATATATTATTGAGTTTATGCGTAAACCAGTACCACCGTATCTATTAGGCCCGCACTGAGTAAATTCAATGATAGTTATTCATTTTCAATGTCCATCTTTTACTGTTGTAATGGGAATTTTGGTATTTCTTGCTTTGAATTGTGATACAATGAATACATTAAATAATAGCTATTCAGTGTAAATGTATTTAACTGTATTTGCAGCATTAAATAATTTTTTAAACTCAATTAGTCATCATTAAACTGATAGATGTGCAGTAATATATTTTGCCAAGATTGTTATTAAGTGCACACCCTTTCTGTGATATAAATTTTCTTTGTTTTTGCATTACTGTAGAAGAAGTGTTATAATTTACAGATATTTGTATACATCGAAATCTTTGTGAATATATGTTTTATGATGTTAAAAGCAACTAAAGAACATACTAATATATGGTAGTTAGGAAGACCATAATTGATGTACTGTATTCTCACTGACTTATTCACATACATAAGTTGCATTGATATATTATAATGTTGTAATGATGAATGAATTTTTGATTCAAGTGTCATATGATGGAGGATTTTATGAATATAAATAATTTTCTACTTTTGTACATATTCAATAGTCTGCAAGACTCTGGAATATTATATATCTGTTTTGATTGCGTCAAAACATTTTATCAACCGAATACAATGAAGCCATTGGCGCCACAAAACAATGTATTGATTTAAATGTAGTATCTTCCAGATTTATATCATACAAATATTACATACTATTTTGTACATATGTAAATACTGTCACTGATGTAATATTATTGATATACCGGTATCATTCTTTGATGACACAGATTCTTTCATGTACAGAGAGCATATTGTGCATCTTTATATAAACGAATTTTGCATTATTCATTTAACACTTAAAGGTTGAACTATTTCAACATAACAACATTGACAAAAATATTAACTGTAAATAGTCGATGTGTAATAAACACTCGTTATATTGTAAGAATTTGAGCTGAATTGCGATAAAAAGGGTCGTTTGTTTCCCCGCACTCGTGCGAAAGTTTTATCATGGCAATTCGCACTTACGGAACTTACCAGATCATGTTAGTAATCTGGATGAGTTTAGATAGTATAAAGGGATGTACTCTATTCTCCTGAATTCTATTTGTTACATGAACTTCATGTTTAACTTTAACTCATTGAAATAATATTGAATACTATTTTTAATACTTAGGGATGTTGTTGTTTTATTCTTTAAAATATACCGACAAAGACATTTCATGGACGCGTTGATAATGATGCATTTTAGAAGGTTAATTCATATATATATATATATATACACGTATATATATCGCACGTTTGTACAGAAGTGTAGAAATAACATTGCTTGCTGCCACTTTTTTAACTTGGAAGTATTTACATTATTTGGATTGCACGGTGAAAAGTTAATTTATCAATGAACTACCAAATGAAAATCAACTACTGAATTATAATGATGTATTTAGAAGGTGAATTCATATACACATATATATTTATATATATCGTATGCTTGTACAGAAGTTGAATATCAACTGCAGAAATAACATTGTTTGCTGACACTTTTTTACTTGAAGTATTTACATTATTTTGATTGCACAATGAAAAGTGAATATAATTCAGCTACTGAATTATGGATGTATTTAAGAAGGTGAATTCATATATATATATATATATATATGTATATATCGCACGTTTGTACAGAAGTTGAATCTCAACATTGTTTGCTGACACTTTTTGAACTTGAAGTATTTACAGTAATTTAATTGCACGTAGGAAAGAGAATATACCAATCAGCTACTGAATGAAAGAGTGTATGATTTTATTCTGTTTATTTCGCAAACGTCTATTCGCATACACTGTTGCTTTAACAGTATACAGAGAGGAATAAATCGATTGTAAATAATGTGTATTTAGCTCACAGTTAGGATGTACAGAACATTTTGTGATATTAAAACTAAATTATATACATAGTACAATGTATATAGTTATGCACACGGAACTACAAAGTAATGTTATTGAATTTCACTGAATTTGTTCAACACGAGATTCAAGGGCAGCATTCTATATATTCATTCACACCAGTGTTTTCTTGTTAATACAAAAAGAGCATTTTCCCATGAACTTGTGCTCAAGTTAATGACCGAAAATTATGTGTCGTTCATGAAATTGGCACATTCCATTTTATCTCAAATGTATTTCATGATTTTGTAGAATTTTGAGTGACTCTTTTGGTAATTTTACTGACAATATGATATCGCAGTAAGTATTTTTATACAGAGCATACCACTCCTGTGAGCTATTATGGGGTGTATGTTTTCTTCATTATCTTAATGTGTATGTATATATTGATAATGATTTACATTACATGATGTAGTGTAACCGTTAAGAATTGAAGGGAAACGATAATTTCTCTACTGATTATGTTAAAATATTGGTTTGTAATGAGCATACGTGCATGGAGCCCCGATCTAAAAGAAATTGCAATTTGGAAGATAAAGGAAAAAGCAAAATATGATAAAAAAAAACAATGTTGGTTTGATATTTACACGATTGTGTATAAAATATTTTACAGTTAATTTGAGAATGTTTTTTCTTTTCATTTTTCACTTTATTTACCACGTCAAGAAAGTCACTTAACCTGTTGTTTAGTTGGATCAAATCTTAAAGTTCAAAGTTCAATGTTTAGTTCAAGTTAGTACAGAAGATGAGTGTTATCTTTTACAAATTATAAGTATTCTTTTGTACATAGCCTATATAAAGTTACTCAAAATACATTTACAGAAAACTGAGAGTACTTATGCCAAACCTCTCCAAAGAAGAACCCCTTTTTATGGTTTTGTACTTATGAATTTTTTAACTGATGTTGTTGTCACACTGACATGTTGGCCTGTATCGTTTACTGACTAGTATGTAAATATTATTATGATCTTTGTGAGATTTTGAAGATTTCTTTGTTTCCTTGTCTGTGACGATATACTGATCATTAATTACCTTGAGAAATTACTGTAATTTTTCAGCGATTTTCCATATTTACACTAGTTGTTACCCTTGCATACATGTTTCCAGATTTTCATACACAACATAATTTGATATCGTTTACGATTACATACATTCGTCTGCTTTATTTCTTGCAGAAATGTTTGAGATGATGAAAACAAAGTTATACCAACAGAAACAATGGATTTTCTAAAGTTTTAGATATATGAGTGATAGTTTGTTACAAAATAACAACGCAGTTTCTTGTGAAAATTATGTTGCCAGAGTTGTAAATAATGGTATTTTTCATGATATTCATTTCATTCATCTGACACCAATGCTTCACGTGAAATATGTGTCAAATATCACCATACTGAGCAACAGAAAGATTGTGAAATAAATGTCCTTTAATTCTGGAATTCATATATTGTTATACGATGTTTTGTACGAAAATTTGAATATTGATACTATAAGCCTAGCCGAAATGTGTGATGTAAATGACGAATGTTTGACGGTCTCGTTTGTTTTAGCGTTAAAAATTGAAATGCCTGTAATAAATGGGAAGAAAGTGTTATGTATATAATAATATTTTGAGTTTGTTTTATGCAGCCTCATGTTTTTTGTGGAACATTTTGTGAATAATTTGATATATAGTTGTTTATATAAATTTTGTTCTTCGCCTCAAGTATGGCGTTTCTTGAGACTTCCGTACAATGCTATCTAGTCAAACAAAAGTTTTCTTGAGTATCATGTTCATGTATTATAGCTAATGAGCGACTTCAGAGATACAGTCTGCTTGTATATTGGTGATACGTTGTTTTGTAGAGTTTCTTGCAATTAAATATGATTAGTAATCCTGATAATGCTTTTTCAAGCACGTGAGAGAGAAAT